TAATTCATACCGTAAGCAATTTAAATCAAGAGTTTGTATTAAAGAATAGGATGACCAAATTTATGAATTTTATATCGCATCAAAAAATTCTTTGACAGGATTTTTATTTAAGGCGCAGCTTCTGGTCAGCAAGGAGTTAAAACTCTAAATATTCTTGCTTTGGATTTGCACGAGAGATGTTCAACTGTTTTGTACGTCAACAATAAATGCAATAAAAATTTAGTACACTTTTTGAAATGTTTGTTATACATTTAAATGTGAAAGAGGATTAAATGTATTGAAAAGATGTTCCTTTTTTATTCTCCATATCTGTCATTCAAAAATTTTAGGATCTCATATCATAGGTCTCCTCTGTGTCTGTCCGTCATTCCGTCTGCCCCATTTGGTTTTACGCACTTTTTTTCTAAACATTTGCTGATATTGAGCTAATTTTTGGTATGTGACTGTATCATGATGTGTTACAGAACAAGTTTGAATGTCGTTTCGCTTAATTGACTTTTTAAAAAAATAATGGCATTTTTTATTTATCATAATATGGTTTAAGATCGGGTAAGTGCTAAATTAATGATCCAAACGAGATTGTAGTTAAAAGATTATTAATTTGAAATTTGTTTGGTAACCTTATAGCGACAAACGAAATAGAATGTAACAAGAGACCCACACGGGCCTTATAGGTCACCTGAGCATTATGCAACAACTTTCCAGTTACTGAATTTAATTCATGTTTTAAGCCAGATGCTATATGGCATTCACAATTTTGAAAGAGGCACCATTGATCATCATAACAATACACTTAGCAGTTGCTTAGCTTGGTTACTGAATACCCATACGCAGGGTAGGGGAACATAAATGCACTCCAACTAATCAGTAATATTCAGCAATAATCAGTAGTGCCCCTAACACTGTGACATAAACCCCTGACCTTAGGTCCACACATTGCACAAATTTTTAAAAGGCACCCTTAAAATTGCCTATCAAAAAATAAATGTTTTATAAATACAAAGGAGCATATTTCAAACAATTAATTCATTTTCAGTATATAAGTAGGACCCCCCCCCACCCCTGACCCTTGGGCCTTGAAATTCACAATTCTGCAAGATTAGGGCCCTTGCTCATCATCACTATATAGGTAGTTCATCTGCTTCATACCCAGAGTCAGAAAAGAAAATTTTCAAAGACTCAATGTATTTTGACTATTTATAATCAATAGAGCCCCATCCTACCACCAGAACCCCTGACCCTGGAGCCATGAAGGTCACGATTTTCGTAAAAGCATTCTTGCTCATCATAACTATGTACTTAATTAGTTTATATAATACACAGGATCAGAGGAGAAGATTTTCAAAGAATTAATTGATTTTCACTATTTATAATCAATAGTGCCCCCCCCTCCCAACACCAGAATCCTTGACCCTGGGGCCATAAAATTCACAATTTTGGTTGAGGCACTCTTGCTCATCATAACTATGTACTTAGTTAGTTTATTTAATACCTAGGAGCAGAGAAGATTTTCAAAGAATTCATGTATTTTCACTATATAATCAATAGAGCCCCAACCCAACACTAGAACCATTGACCCTGGGGCCATAAAATTCACAATTTTGGTAGAGGCACTCTTATTCATCATAACTATGTACTTAGTTTATTTAATACCTAGGAGCAGAGAAGATTTTCAAAGAATTCATGTATTTTCACTATTTATAATCAATAGAGCCCCACCCTAACACCAGAACCCCTGACCCTGGGGCCATAAAATTCACAGTTTTGGTAGAGGCACTCTTGCTCATCATAACCATGTACTTAGTTAGTTTATTTAATACCCAGGAGCAGAGAAGAATATTTTCAAAGAAATAATGCATTTCCACTATATACTTATGTAGCCCCGCCCTAGCACTAGAACCCCTGACCCCAGGGCCATGAATTTCACAATTTTGGTAGAGGACTCAATGCTGATTACAATCATGCAAATAGTTTGACTGCTTGATGTCCAGGAGTAAAGAAGATTTTTAAAGATTGCATTAATTTTAGTGGTTTTGGCCCCACCCCTCAGGCCCCGGGGGGTGGGGACTATAAAATTCACAATTTTTGTCCCCCTTCACCCATAGATGCTTTGTGCCAAATTTGATTGAAATTTAAATTGGTTCAGTGGTTGCAGAGAAGAAGCTGAAAATGTTCAAATGTTAAAACACGACGGACGACGACAGACGAAAACGGATAGCAATACGTCACCTGAGTTTACTCAGGTGACCTAAAAATATATCTTTGGACCCGAATGCGTTCTGTGTATTGACTTGATGCATACTACATTCACGTGCCAAAAGTAATATAAATTTTTCACAAGATGGCCGACATAGTTTTTGTTTACTGCATGAACAAAAAATGATGCACTTTTCTTCTTTCTTCGTATTTTGACTTGATATTTTGTGATGAAGCCTTTGGATGCGATCACTTTCCGACATCGTTTCGGTAGACTGGAGTAGAGAGACCTGGGATAAGTTTTTAACAGATTGTTCCAAGCATACTGTAGTTCGTGTTTCGATCGTCGATGGTACGGATGTGGAAAATCTGACGTTTAATATGATTTTTCAAAACAAGCCAGACAATTTTAATTGGGTTTTAATCAGGGGATTGTGGGGGCCAAAAAAATGGTAGAATCCCATTCCTATGTTTCCAGTCTTCTGTCTCTCTGAGCGATGAACATGGCAATTGTCATCCATAAAATGCTAGTGTGAATTTGCAAAATATTTAACTATCACGGGCCATAAATATTCATCTAACACACTAATATACCTCTGAGAGTTCATATTACCGTCAACAAATGCTAGTATTTCAGCTCCATGGTAAGTCCCCCCCCCCGTCACCTCGCACAGGGAATCGACAAATTGTCGAGGAATTCAAATTTAGTAATTCAGCCACTTTAACTGCTTTTAATCCACTTTCTATTAGGGATATTACGGTCTTCTTTTCATCGATAGTAAGTTCTCGTCCCCTTCATCCCATACTTGTTGTTTACATTGACAATGGAAAAATAGCAGAAGTTATGACTACTTCCGGTTTACAAGGGCGTTAAATAACATACGACAGCTTAATAATGACAAAAATAAGTCAAAATTTGTTAGTGAAAATTATTAATGAAAAGTTATATTCATTTAATTTTTTTACGACGGCCATCTTAAAAAAATGGACAAACTTTAATAAATATAAATAATAGACATGAAGTTAAAAAGCAACGACGAGAACTTGATACATGACTTGTTTAAATTATTTTGATTTCCGTTTTACAAATAGTGCATTTCGTCATATGAATAGCTGAGGATTAGATTCCTTTTTAAAAAAAAATTTTTTTGCGGGAAATTTATGATTAAGGATTACATGTCCGAATACCAGTACAGTTCTCTGCTGCGAAAAATTGTTCGGGTCCGTTTTAATAAGATATGGTCTACTGGTAGAGCGTTCGCTTCGTGATCTGGAGGCCCAGGTCGATTCTCGTTCTCGGCGTCGTGTCAGACTTAAATATAGGTAGTGTCTGTTCCTTCGCCAAGCCCTTGGCATTAGAAGTGAAAGTCACGGGTCTTTCGGACACGACTTTAAAAATTAGGCCCCGTGTCAATTTAGGTGTTGGCACGATAAAGAACCCCAACGGCTCAATGGCCCTAAGTGCCGAATGTAGTCTAAATTTGAAGCCCTTCACCGCGGCATCCGGTGACGTCAATGTGAGAGAAAAATTATCGAATGGAACGGGGTACGTGAAACAATATACAATCAATCAATCATCTATTAAAATATAAGCGATAAATTTAACTTCACGCCATTGCAAATATCGTAGTTCCGAATGTCAACATGGTAAATAATGTAGCCAAGTGACAAGACTTGAAGATTCACAACTTTATTGTAGTATAAACCAAAAGGCAGCAGTGATATCTGAATACTGTAGTATTGTTTCAAAAATACAAAATGCTAAGGTCTGCACTTAGACATAAAGTTCTGGCTGCAGCGTGACAAGTAATGACGTCAGCCTCGGCTCCAAAAAATGCTAAAACTAACGTTCTGATAAAATTGGAAAATATTAAATTTGCACTTGCCTACAATAAGAAGCGAGAAGACGTTGAAAAAATAATGAGGTGAATTTTCGTCTTTATATATGGATTATTTATTTAGTTTATAGACAAGCAACAACATTTTAATATCAAGTACTTTTACCTTGGTCATAAATTTTGAACCAGAACGCCATTGCTTTCAAATTAAATGTCTTTTTTCTGCATGGTAGATAGATCAAAAAAAAAAAAGGTTTGTTTTAATCAGTAATGGTAGTTATTTCTAATGCATATCCTTGTGTATTCTTCAAAATCGTTTCGGAGCAATTCTCATTCTGCAATTTTTTTGCAACATTACGAGTTTATAGGAGATATTCCAACTGTGGCGAGGGCTTGTCCTGAGACACAGATTATTTTAACTAGGTGACTTACCATGCACAATTCAAGTTTGATTTTTCAAAAGATATAATTGTTTTGTAACCATGAAAAATTAGCTGTTTTGAACAAAGCATTCATGTATGTATAATGACATCAATTCGTTCATTCTTAAACAAGTAATTTCCGAAATGTCCACATTTTCATAAACAGGATATTATTAAATGACATCATAAAGAGAAAAGGGGAACCCCGTACGAGACATGTATTGGTTATGCAATACTCTCATAATGCTTGTTCATTTTGAACTTCCTGCCAAATCTGCAACTATTCAAAGTTTTCCACATCTTTTCAAACCCTGTACGTACAGTCCAGGTCCTGTGAGTATTCTTCATTTGATGAGAATCTTTCTTCAGGTGGACAGTATACATCAGTTGCATATTTAGCAAAGTCTATCATCATTTGCTTTTCTGCTTTTGTTAAAATGTTCAACTTATTTTTTCATATTTTTCGCACCAATGAAATACTTAATATTGATTTAATATCAAAGTTATTCCCACCTCTTTTCTCAACATTTTACGTATCCTTAGCAACACCGCACCAATGTACAGGTAAAAGCAAATTTACTCTCAAACTCGTATTATAAAAGCTAGCACTTTGTTTCCACCAACACATTTAAACATAACACGAAGATGTCAGTTCCAGATTTGAAATGCTCGGTTGTTGGTGATGCTCGAGTTGGCAAGACTTGCCTTACCAAAGTATTTATTGGAGAAAAGGGCGATGAAAAATATACACCAACTATTTTTGAGAATTACTATGGTAAGTTTAATGATTGGTTTTGTGCAATACATTCGTGTCTGTGGATTAGGGTTTCCTTCGCTGTAATAATATAAACAAATGCATTTAGATGGTTCTTTTTTTTTCTTAGGGGAAACATTTTGTAGAGGAAAGAAAGCCATCGTATCAATTTATGATCTACCCGGACAGCATGACTTTGACCAGATGAGGCGATTTGCACTCAAAGACAGTAATGTCATCATCATTTGCTACGATGTCCAGAAAAGAAAATCTTTCGAAAATGTTCAGTCTGTGTGGATTCCCGAAATTCGACAGTTCCTTGGAAAGACCATACCAATTGTTCTAGTGGGAATTCTTTCGGGTAAAAATCAAGCAAGAAGCGTGTCTAAAAGAGAAGCAATCAAAATCACCTCCCAAATGCGAATTCATGACTACTTTGAGATATATTCTGACGATAATGTTGAAGTGTCCTGTCTGTTTTCTTGTGTCGCATCTATTGCAAAGAAAACAAAAAGGCACAATTCGTCCTTTCTTCGACGTATGTTTATAAATTGACACTCTCAATCAAGTCTATGGGTGTTATTTTATTGTTCCAGAGGAATAAGAACGTTGACCTGGTCTGAACCTAAATGAAGCCAGTTGAACTACAGTAATATGATGATAGTTTTCATATGATGGCCTACAAGATATTGCGAACTGTTCTGAAATTCCAATCTTGCAAATAAAAGGTCTAATCATGAATGAGCAAACTCCAGCACTCAAGGATGAAGAAAGGGACAAAATGACTGAGAGAAGAGACATAATTACTACGTAATTATTGAGAAATTCAATGTATTTTGCTTGTATTATTGTCATACTTTTTCGTTCACAAAGCTTTGTTTTTTTCCTCAATAAAACAATGATTGTAGAATATACAGCTGTTCTTCTTATTCTTTATCGAAAGAAGTCCATATATAAAGAAACGTCTGCTGATTAGTGAATTAAAGATATTAACAGGTCTGTCGCAAACATAAACGCCATAAATGTGTGAAATATTCCACTACTGAGTAATTCTTACTGATATTCCTTAATTACCTCTGATTGATTGATGGTACGTATTTACGTCCCATCCGAGAAATTTTTTCACTCATATAATTACTATTAATTATATGCGATGAGTAGTAATTAAAGAGACAAGCATAAGAAATGTTTAAAGAGATTCAATTTTGATAACTCAAACGACTCTCATCTCTAGATAAATTGGTTTAAGGTCTTTCCACTTTTACAATTTTAATGGTTAAGAGTACAAAAATTGAATTTATTTTCATGTAATAGAGTTTAAATTTACCAATTATTTACAAAAATGCATAGGTCGCCATATTATTTAAGATGGAAGACGTAAATGAACAGAAGCATATGTCAGCATAAAAAAACGTACATTTTTTGTAAACACTATCATAAATAGTATGTAAAAACTGATTCAGTTGCATAATTATGATGCTGAAAGTTCCTAAATACTTGCTACTTATAAAATACTCTTGAATTGTGAATATTACGGAAACTATTTTACATTAGAAGTACAATAAAGAAAATGCCTAAATGAAGCTATCTGAGCAAGAGTTATTGCCCTTGTCAACATTCTTTTAAAAGATTGAATAATTGATTAAATAAAGGAAATATGCATTTTTCAAATTCTTTTACTTAATATTTATCATTACACCTATGCAAAATCATTCTTTCAAAATATATTGTTCTATTGGGTATGAATTCAATTTAATAACAGTTTTTGCAAAAACCTAGTACATCACAGGAGGGTGGAATTACCTTGAGACGAACTCTTGTGTAACAAATGAAATAAATCAGGAGCAGAGCGAACGATGACCTCTATAGCTGTAAACATCAGAAGTGGGATAAGGTGCCATGCGGAGTCTCCTGCCGACCGGGCACGCCCGCCATGTTGATAGGGTGTGCAATAATTTATCAAACAACATCCGAGGATACTCGTCGTTCGGTACCTATTCATTCATGAGTACACAGAATAACGAAATGATACTGGCAGGCGCGTCGCCCAGTATAAAAAGGCGTCACTCCGTTGAGTCTATAAGGGACACAGACTCAAGGAGTTCATTTGCTGCCCCTCGGATAATTTCAGGGATATGTCATATGTACAGTCTTCAGATTCCCAGTTTTGGTATAAAACTTATACATCATACCAAAAATTGAAAGAATGTAAGGTTTCTATTACAGATATATTTGATGATTCATTTACCGATCCCATGCCTTCTGTTTCAAAATGTTCCGTGCAAAACTGTAAAACCTGTGACATTTTGATAACTGAAACTTCTATCACCAGTAATCTTTTTGGACAGAGCTTCTATACCAAAACTTGGGAAAATCTGAACTGCAAATCTTTGAAAGTTGTCTATGGAATAGATTGTAATCTGTGTGGACTTATTTATGTTGGTAAAACCAAGGGATCACTGTATAAAAGAATGTCAGGTCATCGATTTCAAATCAATCATGGTGGTCAGCAACTTTTATACAAACATTTTAATTTACCTGATCATTCTATTTTGTCTATGAAAGTTAGAATTGTCGAAAAGATTTATCACCACACAAATAGTCAGTCGCTGAGTACACCTTTCCGTAGACAACGAGAAGAATTTTGGATTCGAAAACTAGGTACAGCCTTTCCCTATGGATGTAATGACAATGGCGATAGTGTTGGAAATCTTTCCAGTCCACAGTGTAGCGATGTAAATGCGATGGAACTTTTTAACAATACACAGAGACGTAGGCGTAGTCATGGGCATCGGTCGTACAATAAACGTAATTCACGATGTCTCTTTTGATTCGTTACTACCTTATGTAAATCAACAATTAGGTCTACATCAGATTCGCACCAAACTGTACTCTGTCCCTTTGAAACTTTTAAATAATCTTCTTGAAAAGGCCAAGAAAAGTCCAATTTTTGATTTCTCGAGTCCAGAATATAGGCTCGGATCTGTGATTATGGATATTGCTAATCATAGGCTTTTTAAACCCGCACGTTTTACGGATGAAATTGCAGCTAATACAATCCGTCTTTTCCTTAAACTCCAATATCCCAATAGATATTGACGCTGTTAATATAAGTAATATTCTTAATCACAAAAGGGTCCAGGCTTGTATTCCACCATATTTCAAGTTAAAGACTGCAAGTTGTATTTCCTACAAATATACATCGACCATTGCTTCCAAACTTTTCAATTACAAAAAAAAAAAAACTTTACATGGCCTTGATACCGAATATCTGAAACATAATCCTCCATCTTGTTCATGTTCTTCTTCACCCTATAACTACCGTCCTGCTGGACACGTTATTACAGGTGACGTAAATATAGTTAATAATGAGGACCTTAGATCACTTATTTTATAAGGCCCTAAATATAGGGAACCCCGATCCTTCAACTGGCGTTGGAATTTCATAAATGTTATGGATTCTGTTGAAAATTACGCCAGACGATGGGCCAGATATGTAAAAGAAGACGTTGACACCCTGTCAGAATGGATTAAATGTATCAGATCCATGTTAAAGTCGCGTATTAAAAGATTGAGGGGCAATATGAAAACCATCTATCCTTCTGTGTTCAGTAACCCGGAAGTTAAAAAAGAATTAGATAGATTACATAACCTGTGCATACTGGTCCCTGCCGACAAAGCAGGTAACAACATTATTCTTCGTTTGTAAGGCTCATTATATTAATCGTATTTTTGATTCTACAAGTGGTGATCCTTCTTATACCCATACTTCCCTTTCTAAGGAAGAAATTCTTCAAAGTCATATGTCAGGTTTAGATATTTTTAATATTCCACAGAGCCAAAATGAATTTGAATTACCCTATATATATTGGATTCCGAAACTTCATAAAAATCCTTACAAACAAAGATACATTGCGGGTTCCAGTAAATGTTCAACCAAGCCTCTTTCGTTACTCCTCACTAAGCTGTTGACATTAGTGAAGGAAAAACTTCAAGAGTACTGCGCAACAATACATGTATATTCAAGAAGTGGTGTGAATCAGATGTGGATACTCAAAAATTCCAAAGAACTTTTGGATAAGTTGAAATCACAAGAATTTTCAAAAAATCAACAGCTTAAAAACGTACGACTTTTCAACTTTATATACAACCATTCCCCACGATAAATTAAAGTCCAGGCTTTTTGATATCATTGACAGCTGCTTTTTCAATAAAAATGGAACTCGTAAATTTACTTACCTGGTCATTTGTTTCTTGCAGAATTATTTTGTTAAACAAATTCTGATTGCACACACAAGGACTCTGAAGTTGACATCAAGAAGATGCTTGAGTTTCTGATTGACAATATCTATGTGGGTTTTGGAGACCAGGTATTCAAATAATCTATTGGAATTCCCATGGATACCAATTGCGCTCCGTTATAAGCAGACCTGTATTTATATTCGTATGAAGCAGAATTTGTGCAAAATCTAAAAGAAGAAAACACTTGTTGTGGCCTTCAACTCGACATTAAGATATATCGACGACGTATTGTCAATTAACCATGGTCAATTCCATTCCTACGTCGATACGATATATCCTGGTGAGCATGAGATATAAAAGATACCACAGAGTCTGACATATATGTTTCATACTCGTATATTTTACTTGAAAAAGACGTTAATGGTAATCTAACAACCAAGTTTTATGACAAACGTGATGACTATAACTTTTCTGTCTTCAAATTTCTTTACTTATGCAGCAATATACTTTCATCACCTGCATACGGAGTGTATATACGTCAGTTGATTCGATACGCAAGAGCATGCTCTACGTACGTATGAACAATTTCTAAAACGAGGTAAATTATTAACAAGAAAGCTGATGAAACAAGAATATCAACAGTCTCGTTTAAAGTCATCATTTCGTAAATTCTATGGTCGATACAATGGCCTTGTTAGCAAATACTATTTATCATTGAGGCAAATGCTGACTGACGTTTTTCATACTTATTGTTAGTCCATTATTTATACACTGATTTGACGACGGATTTTTCCGTTATTTCCCGATCATGACAAGGAGCACACGGCGGGTGTGACCGTCAGCAGGGGATGCTCACTCCTCCATTGCACCTGATCCCACATCAGTCCGTGTTTTTCTGCTCTAATATTGTATTGTTTTATGGACTTTGATATTGAATACTGTTCGTTATCTCCATATCCTTCTTTCGTGTGTGTTCGTTTAAGATTTTTCATATACGACAATGTTTTATATATCAAACTATTTTCCAACGAAATGGCCGAAGCAATGTCAGTATCTATAGCCAAAAGCAAGGATTCGAAATTTTAAAAAATCATTTTTATTCAAAATAAGTCACCTATTAAACGGTAACATAGTAGGAGCATTTGCTTTAGAGAACGTTGCCAGTTGGAATCCCACTCAGGGACGCTGATATCCATAACTGTTCTTCGGATGAGACTTTACATCTACACGGTTTGCTTCGGTTCATACGGTCTTATCCAAAGAACTGGTCTCCACGTTTCATGATCCTATGCGAATCCGCGACGTAAGGACCAACTCCTTACTCCACGACTAGCTGACGCTCTTACAACTGTGAGCGATTAGTGAAAGGTCTAAGTGCCGAGTATAGTCCTAAATTTGCAGACCTCCACGAGCAAGTGGTCTCAACTTGAGTGAAAAATTCTGTTAAGGACGTTAATTAAACAAACAAACAATCCAAGAAGAGTGCGAACAATAATACATGTCAACATAATTGAGGAAAAAACAGTGCATGTGTTGGTCCAATTGACATTCGAGATGGATTCCTAATCTTTATCTTTAATTATAAGTTGATAATTATGTCAGTTACAGAAAGATATTTCTTTC